ACCCAGCACAGCTCTTTGGACCAGAGCTCGCCTCCACAGACTGGCGTGTCCACCTACAACCACCCTGTGCTGGGCGTCTACAACCCCCGGGATGATCTTGGTGGCCTCTTTAATACTGTGTGTGTGTGTGTGTGTGTGTGTGTGTGTGTGTGTTTTGCAGCAAAACCCAGCACAGCTCTTTGGACCAGAGCTCGCCTCCACAGACTGGCGTGTCCACCTACAACCACCCTGTGCTGGGCGTCTACAACCCCCGGGATGACTTCCCACTGCGAAAGACTGGTGCGGTCCCCACACACACATACGCATGTGCATACACTTTGTTTTGGCAGTGCAGACTCATCTATTTGCTGAATGCACACATGAGAATTACACACACACATTGAAAGTTTAATGTCCAGTAGCTGCCATGTAGACTCACATCTAGCATTATTTAGATGGCACTGAGCACTGCTCCATTAATCACATCCAGATTAGGCTGTCAGGGTCTCCCAGCATTCCCTACATGAGAGCAGTAGAGAGAGTGCAAGTGTAGGTAAGTGTAGTTCAGTACAGTGAGCGCTAAGAAACATCAGCTTGACACTGATAGTTTGAATAGTAAAAAGTTACTGTTTTTTACCAAAATATGACAGCTATATTTACTGTTATTTCCTTTAATGTATTGGATATTTGAATATTAAGACTAACTGGCTTGAGGGCTGTGTTAGTAGTGAAGAACTCCAATTACCTTTGGAGTTCCCCAGGGCTCTGTTCTTGGTCCTCTTAAACTTCCACATTTCCACAGGTGCTTTTGCAGGTGTCTTTTCTTGAATGTTTATAAAGCCACTCTCCCTTTACATAACAACATAGCTCAGTGAATTTGGGTGTGGTACTACTATAATGTGCCACCAAAGCAGCAAGTCAGTTGGTGAAATTTCAACTGCCTTACATCAAGTACAATGCCAAGCATAAAGCACACTACCAGTAAACTCTGGAGCAGTTTTAAAAAAATAAACCTCTATTTAACCCGGAGAAAATAAACTCTTAAGTAGGGATGGGTATCGTTTAGGTTTTATCCGATACCAGTGCCAAACTGGTACTTTAATGGTGCTCGAACCGGTGCTTAAAGAATGGAGAACACAAACTTTGTCCAAAAACCTCTCATGTTCAGCTGTTTTACACTTTTTCTTTGGTCATTTTAGCCTTTTTGGCCAGGGTGAAGGGAGCATCTGCCATCAAACAAGAAGACAGCCGCATGTAGCTATGATGATGTTTGCTAGTTCACCTTACATGCATTAATGTAATAACGTGGTTAGCCTACTCAACGTAAATTACACACGAACAACATTAAGCTACTCACGCAGAGAAGAACGGCTGCTGCTACATCATCATCCTCATCATTTCTGCTACACTGGCAGGGCTAGGGGCCAGGACTCTCCTCTTCGGGTTCTTGGGGGATGTTGCTAACTCCGGGTCCGATAACAGGCAACCCGCAGTAGATGTGCACGGTGTGAGGTCTCGCAGCAAGCTATCAAATATGGCGCATTTCTCGGCTTTTAAAAAAACGCTATGCGTCGCCAGGTGTTTCATCAGATTCGAGGTGTTACCTCCTTTGACAGTATCACAGTATCAGCTTAAAGCACTTGTTGCTGCTGAGTTTGCATATTTTGCTGTGAAGTACAGCCAGACTTTTGACCGCTTCGCCTTGGGCATTTTTAATCTGTAGCTCTGCTCTAACAGAACGTACGTACCTGGACCCGCCTACTACGCTCGCAAAGGTAAAATGATTGGCTAGAATCTGAAGTGTGTGACAGCTCAGGGGGAAAAAAGCACCGAAATGTGCGCTGCTTTTCGGTCTGGTTACTACCGTTTATGTCAGAACCGGTACCCATCCCTACTCTTAAGATTGAATCTCTTTTACAAGAGCATCCTGGCCAAGAAGGACAGCAGTACTATTATAAGTTGCATAAATTAACAGCACATACAAAACAATACACCAGGTGAGTACAAGCTTTGAGAAGAGTTTGGGGAGGGTCCTTATTCTGTTCCCGCATGACTGTGATCCAGTACATAAAGTCCAAAAAAGGCATGGTTGGATGCATTTTGGTGAGTTTAACCCCATTCAACCCCATCCTTTGGGATGAACTATATCAAAAATTGTGAGTCCAGTATCAGTGTCTGACCTCACAAATGCTCTTCTGGATGAATGGGTAAAGATTTCCACAGATTTATTCCAGACTCTTGTAGAAACCCTTCCCAGAGGGGTGGAAGCTTTTGTAGCTGCACCATACTGATGCCTAGGGTTGTAGGATAGGATAGCATAAAAGCTTTAGTAAATTTAATGTGTAGGTGGCCAAATACCTTTTTCACATAGTGTATGTAAGATATGTACACACAAGCACAGCATGCACTTCTTATTGTCCAGAAACTAAAACAGATTCACAGAGCTGAAAGTTTTGTTTCACATTCGGTGCTCAATATGTCAAAAACAATTAAAGCAGTTAAAACTGCTGCACACACCACAGAAATAGATAAAAGTTTACTTGTGGTGCACAATCTGTCATTCTTTGGGTCTGCTGCTCAAACATCAGATGTCTTTAAAGCTTTAGCGAGTAAAACCAGCTGTGTTCAGCGTGCTTTTGTCAGGTGTGTGTGTATGTGTAGCTCTGTGTGGGTGTGCGAAGTGCGAGTGGTGTGTGCGGTGGTGTAGCCGTGAAGCAGCGGTCGTCTTACAGTGCAATTATTCACTTAGCCCAGTGGCAGGCCGCTCCAGCCCTGTTGACTCTGAGCCTGCAGGCTGCTGGCTACGACAACAGATAGACCACAGTTGACACTGGCCCACACAGCTGCATTCCACCCTGGGAGAGCAGCAGAAGGAGAGGAAAGTGAGGGAGAAAGAGGCGAGTAACATGAAGGAAGAAAAGGAGATAATGAGTAGAAATGAGTGAAAACAGAAAAAGGAGAATGAAGAAGGTGCTTGCTAGCTTCACTGATCATTTCCTTGAGAAAGATGATTAGAGCATAGAAAATGAGAGCTGGCATGCAGGATTTAAACTAAATCCAGCAAGTGCACGATGATTACACACTTAGCAAAATCTGCTTTATGTGCAGAATGGGAAAAAAAAAGAGAGAGAAAAACTGGAAGATGGCAGAGAGTGAAAAGATTGTCCCTGGAGTGTCAGCCCGTCCCTGGATTTCTATAAGGCTGAGGATTGTGCTCTGCTGCCGAGAGAGAGGGGAACCTGTGCCGCCCTGATATTTGCCCACAGCACTGACGTGCTTTGCGGGGTTTACTTATGGTAATGGCAGCTTGGTAGAGTTTAGAGGCTCTTTTATATCACCGCCAGGCCATAAAATAGAGGACTGGAACCCAGAACTCCCAGCAACGGCCGAAGGAAGCAACAACGCTCTTTTGTGCATCTCCCCGTCGTCCTTTTTACCATTTTACAGTGCAACGACAGAACAAACCAAAAAGTTTTCTTTCTTTTTGAGTCCCAGCTGATTTGGTGACAACTGTGGTTACTTCTTGAACAGCGTGAGATTTAAGATTTAATGCAAGAAAATCTGTAAGCAGTAAAACAGACTCATTGTTTTCATGCTTTCCTTATGGCAGCAAGCAGCCTTTCACCTGTAATTCTTCGTCCATCAGTTCACTTTGACTACTTCTAATCTACACATAAGACTCTGCAGAATGTTACAGCATGGAACAAGTCCCAGAAATGTTTTAGCTTTTGGTGCACTTGTTCTCCATTGTACACTCAGTGTGTGGAGAGCAAAAAAGGAACCATATTTGCTGGAAATTGTATCTCAAAACCACCCAAATGTCATCAGGTGATGATTTTTTTCTTTTTATACTTGTCCAACAACAGAACAGGAAGTCTACACCAGACGACATTTCAACTTATTAAAGGCCAAGCTGTGGGAAAGGTGCAAAATTGTAACTAAACACATGGTTTAAGCTCTAAGCAAGCTAAAGGTGTAAAAGGTAGAAGAGTCAGGTGACACAAGGTGTTTCCTGAGGACCTTTTGTCCCAGAACATCAAGTGCATTCACTGTACCGTCCGTCTACAGAGGAGACGATGAACATGTACGTCTCATGCTGCCTTCAGAAATGCTGTGCACTTTCTTCCACATTCACTCTGTCGTTACAAAGAAAAGCTGGTGTCAAACACCAAAGAAACGCTGGCACTGCTTCTGGGCCTGACCATCCCACTACAGTGTGGTATGGGCAGGTGACGCCTTTGTCACTGCAAAACCAACCGTGGTCGAGAACCGCTGCTTCCTGTTGCAAACTACAGAGGCATTTGCAAAGCCAGCTAATAGGGGATTTGAGTCTTTGACACTATTGCTGTATGCATTTAGGGATGAAAGAGCACGACATGAACAATGCCCCTGTCTAGAACATGTTCTCACACACCAATAAAGATATGAGAGGGGAAAACAAAGTGAAGCCTTCTTGTCTTTTCACTGATGAGCGAGGCTGTTTTGTGGCCTCACTGGGCAGCATGTCCATGTGGAATACAAGAACGCATACAGTACATGCTGCTGCTTGATAACTGGACCGTATAAATCTCCCGTATATACAAAGCAACATGCGGCTGTGGGGGCGTCACTCACTGAATGCTAGCTGGGCGCCCTGGTTAAGGCCCCGTTTAACAGGGCCACAATACACCATTTATGTGGCCATATCGCTCTGATTGCGTGTGCTCTTGCTTTTCACAGGCTTATAATACAACTTTCAGACTATCACTAGTCGGAGTTTGCAATTTTGAACAGCAAACTTAAAAAAATTAATTAATGTAAAATTAATTAGCCTGTTCTGTGCAATGATTGCCAAAATCAGAGAATGAAGATGGGTCCAAGAAACATGATAATGCAGCCTTAGATATAACCGGTTCCCTTAACACCGCGTGTGTTTTTATGAGCACCACATTTGGTCTTGTTTTCTCTTTAGCCCTCAAAGAGCAGAGAAAACCTATTTTCACAGTTATTGACATTTTCGTCAATTCCCCTCGGCTTTGACTTTTAAAAATGTCTTTCCTCTGCTAATAACGAAAGCAGAAATCTAATTACTCAAAGGGCCACTTGTTATCCTTCCTTCTTCTGTCGTGCCATTTCTTTGTTTTCCTTTCAGAAAATAAAATGCCTATTAGTATTTTCAAATTCTAAGAAAAACAAGATCTGTCATGAATCTTCAAAGATGTAAATGAAATGACGACTCAGAAAGGAGTTATTTCTGATTTGATGGATGCATTTATTCAAACTCTTTCTCCTCGAAAGGTCGTGCTCATTCAATATTGATCATGACAGAAGACATGTTTCTTTATACTTTGCTTTCAAGAAGATAGACTTTGTCTGAGGTTTTTTTTTTTAAGTGGTTATATCCAGTAGTTCCCCGGTGCCTACAGGTCTTTCAGAGTTTTTCTTGAGGGTCTTCAGCCATGTGAAAAACACGGCGGAGCCTCTGTCATGGTTTGTGACTGCATTTCAGTCAGTGGTGTTGGAGATCTTGTCAAAATTGATGAAATTATGAATACAGAAAAGTATAATCAGATTTTCATCCACTATGCAATAGAATCTGGCGTGTCCGATTGACACTGGCTTCAGTTTTCACCATGACATGCTCCTAAACAAACTGCCAATGCGATTAAAGCAGCGGTCCCCAACCTTTGCGCCACAGACCGGTTTATGCCCGACAATATTTTCATGGACCGGCCTTTAAGGTGTCGCGGATAAATACAACAAAATAAAACTAGTACCGGTACCGAAAAAA